CGAACCCGTGTCCCCTGCATCGGCAGGCGGACTCTCAACCACTGTGCCACCAGGGAAGCCCCAGTACTTTTACTTTTAAAAATATATTTTATTCAGTTTTCAGTTGTTATCTGTAGGAGTGGTGGTCTGATATGTGCTATTTGCCATTATTGGTAATGAACTGCATCTTTTTAAAATCTGAAATCCCAATATTATGTGAAGTGCTAATTTATTTAAACCTCAAACATGTCCTCTACTCTAGGTAGAAAGATTCTGATGAGGGAATAGTGAAATTTAATTTAATACAAAGTCCTAGCTATAGAGAGACACGAAATAATAGTTAAGTGCAACTTTAAGGATTCCCTTTCACTGTGAGAATGGAAATATATGTGGTTGGGAATGAAGTCCTAGGTATAAGACAAAATTTTAATGTTCGTTTATTGTTATTAAGTTCTGAGTATTCTCTTGGCTTGTGAAGGGTGGGGCTGTTAGTTGTCCAATTCATTGAGCTGATTGAAATTACTAATTTTAAAATGCGACTTTTAGTTGTTGAGCTGAAAAGCAATGAGGGGTAGTGAAGGTTTATACCTCTGCTTAATTTTAAGTAAAATACTTATAATCAAAGGGAAAAAAAAAAGACTTAGTTGCCCTGGTAGATGAGGAGGTACAACCACTTTGCTAGTTATTAGAATTCCTATCTAAATAAAAGTGACAACTGTGTGGAACCAGAGGGAAGTTGCCTTATTATTGAGATTATAGCCATTAACGTAACTTTTGTTCAGGCCCAGCTTCAAATGCAGCTGTGTTGGATGTGTGGGTTGTTGTTATGTGGTGCAGAGTAGCCTTTTCTCTGAGAAGAATGTGTGAAAAAACCACTTAAGGCCTGGCCTGTTTGCAGCTAACTCAGCTATAAAGTCGACAAAGGCTTGGCAATTGTATTCCAGCTATTTTCTTTATCCTGTGGAATAACTGTTATCTGATTGTGAAACCAAATAAAATTCAATGTAAAATCTGAGAAATTATAGCATCCTTCTGTACTTTGAGTAGCACTGCTCACTGTACACAAGCAGTAATATCCCCAAACTTTGGCTCAGCTTAATTTAAACGTTCCCCTTAGCAGCCCTAGCCCTGTTTTAGGTGGCAATACTTTTTTCTTAAATTTTATTGGAATATAGTTGATACAGTGTTGTTAATTTCTTCTGTACAGCAAAGTGACTGAGTTATACATATATATATATTCCTTTTTCATATTCTTTTCCATTATGGTTTGTCACAGACTATTGAATATAGTTCCCTGTGCTATACAGTATGACCTTGTTAATCCATCCTGTATATAATAGTTTGCCTCTGCTAATCTCAGACTTCCATTCCTTCCCTCCCATACGCCCCCTCCCCCCTTGTAGTTGTAAAGGCAACTACAAGTCTCTTCTTATCTGCGAGTCTGTTTATGTTTCCACGATAGGTTCATTTGTGTCATATTTTAGATTCCACGTGTAAGTGATATCATATGGTACTTGTCTTTTAGTATGATAATCTTTAGGTCCATCCATGTTGCTGCAAATGGCATTAGTTCGTTATTATTTATGGCTGAGTAGTATTCCATTATACATATGTACCACATCTTTATCCATTCATCTGTCAATGGATGTTTAGGTTGCTTCCATGTCTTGGCTATTATGAATACTGCTGCTGTGAACATTGAGGTGCATGTATCTTTTCAAATTATAGTTTTGTCTGGGATCATATGGTAATTCTATTTTTAGTTGTTTGAGGAACCTCCATACCGTTTTCCATAGTGGCTGCACCAACTTACACTCCCACCAACAGTGTAAGAGGGTTCCCCTTTCTCCACAGTCTATCCAGCATTTGTTATTTATAAACTTTTTAATGATGGCCATTCTGACTGGTGTGAGGTGGTACCTCATTGTACTTTTGAGTTGCGTTTCTCTAATAATTAGTGATGTTGAGCATCTTTTCACGTGCCCATTGGCTATCTGTATGTTGTCTTTGGAGAAATGTCTATTTCGTTCTTCCCATTTTTCGATTGGGCTGTTTTTTGTCGTTGAGTTATATGAGCTGTTTGTATATTTTGGAAATTAAGCCCTCGTCAGTCACATGGTTTGCAAGTATTCTCTCCTGTTCTGTAGCTTGTCTTTTCGTTTTGTTTACGGTTTCCTTTGCTGTGCAAAAGCTTGTAAGTTTGATTGGGTCCATTTGTTTATTTTTGTTTTTATTTCTGTTGGCTTGGGAGACTGACCTAAGAAAACACTGGTATGATTTACGTCAGAGAATGTTTTGCCTCTGATCTCTTCTAGGAGTTTTATGGTGTCACATCTTATGTTTAAGTCCTTAAGCTATTTTGAGTTTATTTTTGTGCATAGTGTGAGGGCGTGTTTCACTGATTTATATGCAGCTGTCCAGCTTTCCCAGCACCACTTGCTGAAGAGACTGTCTTTTTCCCATTTTACATTTTTGTCTCCTTTGTCAAAGATTAATTGACCATAGGTGTGTGGGTTTTTTCCTGGGCTCTTTATTCTGTTCCATTGATCCATGTGTCTGTTTTTGTGCCAACACCACACTGTTTTGATTACTGTAGCTTTGTAATATTGTCTGAAGTCTGGGAGGGTTTTGCCTCCAGCTTTTTTCTTCAGGATTGCTTTGGCAATTCTGGGCCTTTTATGGTTCCACATAAATTTTAGGATTATTTGTTCTAGGGTCACATTAAATCTGTAGATTGCTTTGGGTAGTATTGCCATTTTAACAATATTCTTACAGTCCAAGAGCATGGGATATCTTTCCATTTCTTTGAATCATCTTTAATTTCCTTTATTAATGTTTTGTAGTTCTCAGCATATGTCTTTTCACTTCCTTGGTGAGGTTTATTCCTAGGTGGGTTTTTTTTTTTTTGATGTGATTTTAAAGGGATAGTTTGTTTACATTCCTTTTCTGCTATTTCATTGTTAATGTAAAGAAATACAACTGATTTCTATATGTTAATCTTGTATCTGCCTACTTTACTGAATTCGTTTATCAGTTCTAGTAGTTTTTGTGTGGAGTCTTTAGGGTTTTCTATTGGATGGGCCAAAAAGTTCGTTTGGGTTTTCCTGTAAGATCTTACGGAAAACCTGAACAAACGTTTTGGCCAACCCAATATATATAGTGTCATGTCATCTGCATATAAAACAATTTTACCTCTTCCCTACCAATTTGGATACCTTTTATTTCTTTTTCTTGTCTGATTGATGTGGCTAGGATTTCAATACCGTGTTGAAGAAAATTGGTGAGAGTGGGCATCCTTGTCTTGTTCCAGATTTCAGTCGGAAACCTTTCAGCTTTTCATAGTTGAGTATTATATTGGCTGTGGGTTTGTCATCAATAGCTTTTATTATGTTGAAATATGTTCCCTCTGTGCCCAGTTTTGTAAGGGTTTTTTAATCATGAATGGATGTTGAATTTTATCAAGTGCTTTTTCTGAACCTATTGAATGATCATGTGGTTTTTGACCTTTCTTTTGTTGATGTGGTGTATCACACTGATTTATTCGCATATGTTGAACCATCCTTGTGACCCTGTGAT